TATGATTATTGTAGCTGTTAAGTTTTTTTCCATACTGATGAATTTAGGTAAGATTCTCTTGCAAGTGGGTTGTTCTGACAGAATTATCCAGCCAATATCCAGTAGATCAGTACATGTATTCATCATTCTTGTATTAATCTCTAAACAAAAACATTTATATTAGAAAGCAAAATGACAATGTAATGAGGAGGGAGGGTAGGGATTCTTTTATTAGCATTTGAAAATGGTTGTAACAATTTTGATTAATTAACTCTATTGTGTAAAACCAAAATGTATATAAAGTATAATTTTAACTGATGACATCTTTACCTTTGCTCTAACACTACATTTGATGACAACTTAGTTGGACTGTTGTTTTGAACAGAGTTACAGAAATACAGGACGAGGATTGGCAATTATGCCTGCAGCCAGAGTTTTGACTGTTTAAAATAATTACACAATGATTGTTTTTATCAGGGCATTTTTTAACTATATAACTGGGGGGGCCAAAGCCCCCCCAACCCCCATGGTGGCCCCCCACTCAACCATTTTTCCCCCCCCCCAGTCAAAGTCCCTTTTCTCTAAAATATAAGCAAAACATGGAATTTAGAAGGGAGGTTTGATATTCTAGTAACTGAAATTTGCTTTGTGAATCTTATGTCCTGTCTTTTATGTTTAATAAATACCTTATTAGATTTTAAACATTTCCCAGGCAGTGGATGGCATTTCCCAGACCCTATAGAGTTTGAGTTGTTGGACAAGTTAGTGACCGCAGGGGCCAACAGGCCCTCAACCAAGTGTTTTATAAGGGGGGGGGGGATAATTTTGGCCCCCACAAAAAAAACAATTTGACTTCGAAACTAGAAGTATTTGAAATCATATATACATATAATCAAATATCTGTAATCGATATTTTGATAACATTTCTCGTAATAATCCATCCTGACTCGCGGATATCATAGCCTCACAAATCATAATGAACGAATTAATGAAAGGGCCAAACAAAAGACGTATAGAAGACTTTGAAAATGCCATTTCCGATGATTTAGAGACGCAAAATTTTCAAAAATTTTCCGCTCTGTGCCAACCATGGTGGCGCTTCGTGGGAGTCGGGAACTCTAAGTTTATCAAGCTGGCTTCCTAAGTGACGGCCAAGTTGTGGTATCTACATAAACATACTATGCAAGTACTTAACTGATGGTTCAGTCTATCTACAGAAGCAAAACCCGTTCTTTTGTTAAAAGGAAGGATGGTTAATAGAAATTGGTCCTTTTGCATGAGTGACATAATCGTGTATCGTCATCGATCCGTGTCGTTGAACAATGAAAAAATTTGCTGTGGAATTAGTGAAGATAAAATAGCATTTTGTGAGGGTCTACGGAGTGGGAACTTTTCGGATTTGAACTCAGCTGCGTGTTCGAAAGTGTTAGTTCCCGTAAAAGTATTTCAGATCTAAGACATGCTTAATGAAATCGTTTTCACGGCACTTTTCGAGGTTACAACATGCACACGGACTAAAAGCTTCTTAAACAAAACTTACGCTCTCGTTTAAACGATTTTAGTCGCTAGATTTGTATATTTTGCATGTGTGATTCCAATAGTATATTATATATAGTATATATATAATATTAGTATAGGTAATAGCATGGTTTCGAGTGCAATTTGGATATAACATGCACAAGTGAGTTTTTCAAAGACCTCAAAATAGCACGAGTCCGAAGGACGAGTGCTATTTGAGGTCTTTGAAAAACTCACGAGTGCATGTTTATCCAAATTTCACGAGAAACCATGCTATTACTTATTAACTAGTATAACAAAAAGTTAGTGAAATTGCTGCCGTACGTGTATTCGCATTGCAAACTTGTGAAAAAGGTGGCGCCTTGATTACCTTATGTTTGACATGAAGGCCTGGTTACCAATCGCGTCTCAACATCAGTACTAGCCAGTGCGCTAAGAGGCATTCACCCCCTGATAATATTCAAATGGCGGACCTCCATAAGTGCACTGGGTAGGACCATGGCGTCAGCATTTTGATGACGAATCATGTGGCAGCTGCAATGATTTGCAGGTAATCCACAACCAAACTTGTTAATTGTTCTGAATATAGTACTAATATAGTGATGGGTTGTAGGAGGTATTTGAGTAGTTGTAATGAAATAACTTTGCAATACTCTACCAATAAAAAGTTATATATTTGGTCAGCCTACTAGCCATAGGCTCTCTCTCGCACACACTATGCTTGGTTCATAGGGGTACGAAGGGGTACTTGTGGGTTATTACCCATTCTAATAATAAATAGGTTTAACCACTGACATGTAATTTTAATAGATTGTTTGACCAAGTAAAACAGTGAATGCAATGTTTTAAAGTTAATATCTCATTTATTTCAAATGTCAATTGTCAAACACTTAAACTGTGTGAACAAATTACCAAATATTGTAAACAAACCAAATACCGTAACCTCCGATTATAAGCCCAGGGCTTATATAAGTTTGTAAGTGTTTGTTGATAGGCTTATACATAGTGGGGGGGGGGGGTATATACAGGGGCTCACATCAACATATTTATATGATCGAGAAAAGAACATCTGATGCCAAAATAGATCATTGCTTCTCACACTTTAACCGAGGGGCAATTCACTCCAAAAATCCCGTACACTTCATCAAAAAATCCGGAAAAAATCCAGAAAAAATCCATGAAATCCTCAAAATCCGTTGAATCCATCAAAATCCGAAAAATCCTTTGAAATCCTTCAAAAATCCACAGAAATCCTTCAAAATCCTCAAAAAAATCCGCAAATCCACAAAAAATATATGAAGTACTTGGTGTAATTTACTCGTAAAGGTTCTTTGCCACGTTCAAAAAAATTTTGGTCAGTGTACCATTTTAGGGGTTGGACACGCGTTATATGTCTTACATAAAGTTTTTAGCATAATTTAGCAAGCGCATGCGCAGTAAGCATGCTTTTAAGAACACATGTTTTGTAGGAAAAGAAAATATAAGTTTTACCTCGGTTACTCGCTGTTTTTCTTGGGTAAAACAAAGGACTGCTAGCTAGGCAGTTAAAAGCAAGTAAACAATCGCATCTATTATTATGGTCCTTCGAAGACGGATGTAAATCAGCGAAAGAATGGCGTCGTTTGACTCATTTTGAAACAAGACAAATCGTAGAACGTAAACATGTCGCAAGAATCTCGTGAAACGCTAGCACAGAAACGAAGCATTACAAAGCGAAAAATCACCAATCTTATAAAGAAAGTCGTACCACTAGTACAAAAGATCGAAAGCTCACAATTCGACATTGTATGTGCTGAACAATACTTAAAGGAACTTCGTGATTTGGATAATCAATTTCAGGAAATATATTTATTGGCCAACGCTCAAATCGATCCTAAGGATGAAGAACTGATCGCAAAAGACTACGAAGAGCTGGATGCTCATGACGATCGAATCAGAGAAACTGTAAGTAAACTCGTATTTTTTATGAACACTCAATCTACCAAGGTTTCACATGAAACAAAATCATCTGATAGCAAAGATAAGAAAGCAATTATAGAACGAAAATGGAATCGTATTGTGACTAACATAAACAAAACAATTGCAAATATTGAAGAAGCAACTGATAAGCCTAATGAAAGCGATATTGAAGATCTTATCGATATCAGAAATCAAATTTCTGAATGTGAGAAATCTCTTGATAGTTTTACAAGTGAAATTGAGTCGTCTATACCAGATTTAGATGATGTAGATGGTGGAAATTGGAATGATCTTTTATCTAGTTATTTTGACAAAATTAAGTCAAATCAAGAGAAATTATCTCTACTCATAAAGCAACATCGCCGTGAACAAATGCAGCAAACTAAAGAGCTTGAAATTGAAAAGGAAAACAGAAATAAGGAGCTCGAAGTTAAAAACACTCAACAACAGCATGAACTTAACTTATTGTTAAATAAAGTCAAAGCGCTAGAAAGTTCTGAAGTAAATGAACAAAAAACTGTGAAGCTTCCTCCACTCAATATCCCTACATTTGATGGGGAACCCACTAAATGGAAATCTTATTGGCAACAATTTCAAGCAACAATACATAACTCGAAGAAATTAGATAATCAACTTCGCATGCAGTATCTTCTGAAATCTCTTGTCACTAAAAGGGCTAGAGATGCAATAGAAGGAATCGATGCAGTTGCAGAAGCTTACCCTGAAGCTATTGCAGCACTCAAGGCTCGGTTTGATCGCCCCCAAATTATCCATCGTGCCCATGCTAGAGCTTTGCTAAATGCCAAACCAGTTAAAGATGGCTCAAGCTCAGAACTGAGACAGTTACATGACACTTTCCAGCATCATTTAAGATCATTGAAAGCACAAGACAAGCTTGACTTTGATAGGTTTATGACAACATTGGGCGAGTCCAAACTTGATTCCCAAACAATGATTGAATGGCAAAAATTTACACAAGCAGAAAAGGATGTGCCTTCCTATACCAAATTCCTTGAATTTCTTGACCTCAGAGCAACAACTACTGAACTAACTTCCTTTGATGGAAATCAAAGAAAATTTCAGCCCTTTAACAAGAAACCAAAGTCGTACAGTCCTGGGAATTTTGGCAAATCAGAATCAGTCCATACCACTACCACACAAGTTAAGTGTTCAGCTTGCAATGGGCAGAAACACAGCATAGCCTATTGCCAAGCCTTCAAAGAGAAATCCCTTTCCGAGAAGCGTGCCTTTGTGTATGAAAAGGGACTTTGCCTCAATTGTCTGAAGGGAAGACATATGGCAAAGCAATGTCCTTCACCACATTCATGTCTTAAATGTGGCAAAAGGCATCACACTTTATTGCATGTTGATGATTCCAAACCACCTGAAAACAAACCTGAATTGTCAAAGCAAGGTGCCCTAAACATCAATTTGCCCCCTTTCCCAAACCCCTTTCCACCAAGTAATCCACCCACCAGTAGTGAACCCGCAAGTAGTAATCCACCCACCAGTAGCTACGTAGCGACACCCAAAGCGAACAGCTTGAATAATGTTCTTATGATGACAGCTGAAGTCATTGTAAGCTCCCCATCTGGTCAACAAATAACAGCTCGAGCCCTACTCGACCCAGCTTCAACAGCGTCCTTCATCACCGAAAGACTAGCTCAACACCTTAAGTTAAGAAGATCTAAACAAGAAATCACCATAAACGGAATTGGAGGATCCCAGTGCTCTACCCTAAGTAACAGTACTGTGAACATTAACTTGAAATCTACTCAGAGCTCTTCTACTCTGTCAAATGTGCAAGCTATTGTTCTTCAGTCCTTAACCAGGTATCTACCAACCACTTCCTTTCCAAAAGGTCACTGGCCTCACTTGTCCTCTCTCAAGTTAGCAGATCCCGCATTCAATATATCGAAACCAATTGATATTCTTCTTGGCGTAAGTGCTTATCACGACATCTTGAAACAAGGGCTTATTCTTGGACCCAAAGGAACGCCGTCAGCTCAAGAAACCCTTTTTGGTTGGGTCTTGTTTGGCAATGTCAATGGTAATCGTTCAACAACAGAATCAGTCACAACTCTCCATGTATCTACTGCTTATCCTAGTTGCGAAGAAACTCTGAAGAAATTTTGGACATTGGAAGAACCACCTAAACCTAAAGTACCTGTGTCACTCACTGACAAATTAGCATTACAACATTACAACCAACACCTCAAGCATGAAGAAAATGGTCGCTTTATTGTTAACCTCCCTTTCAAACCACAGAAATCAACCTTGGGGGAATCACGACCTCTCGCCTTACGTCGTTTCTTGTCTCTTGAACGTCGTCTTCATCGTTCCGAACAGTTTGAAGATTACGCAAATGTTGTGAATGAGTATATTTCCTCTGGTCATGCTGAAAGAGTTCCCGATAATGATCTCAACAAACCCTCTTCGAATACCTTTTACTTGGCCCACCATGCTGTTTACAAAGATTCGGCAACAACTCCTCTACGTGTTGTCTTCGATGGTTCAATGAAAACCACTTCTGGTGTCTCTCTTAATGATCAGCTTCTTGTCGGACCAACTGTATATTCCCCACTTAACGATGTTCTCATTCGTTTCCGAAGACATCCGTATGTCCTTACCACTGATGTTTCCAAAATGTATCGGGCAGTTGGCTTAGCTATTGAGGATAGAGATTACCATCGGTTTCTGTGGAGAGAAAATCCTAATGATCCAGTCCATGATTATCGAATGACACGAGTCACGTTTGGAATTGCAAGTGCGGCATTTCTTGCAACAAATTCGGTATTTCGCCTCGCTGAAGACAACGAAGCAAAGTTCCCGCTCGCTGCCAAAGTCGTAAGGGAATCCTTTTACGTGGACGATGGTTTACCTTCTGTACAAACCAAGCAAGAAGCAATCTTGTTACAGCGACAGCTCCAAGATCTCTTTGCCACAGGCGGTTTCAAACTTCATAAATGGGACTCTAACTCTACTGAAGTGTTGAACTCTATTCCGCCAGAAATTCGAAGCAGCCAAACTACATCTAAGTTAGGAGATTCAGACAACTTCGTTAAGACACTTGGCATAGAATACAACTCAAATCAAGATTGTTTTCGATTTTCTACTGCTGAGCTCTCTGTTGATCAGTCCCACCTTACCAAACGCAACGTATTATCTGATTCTTCAAAGATCTTCGACCCACTTGGTCTTATCTCGTGTGTCACGATTGTTGTGAAAATCATTTTCCAACAGCTATGGAAACAAAGCATCGATTGGGATGAGCCATTGCCACCGGACGTGCAGAGACACTTTATGAACTGGAGAGAAAGTTTGTTTGAACTGTCCAACTTAAGAATCCCTCGCTGCTATACGCCAATACATTTCCAGATTGTTGATCAACAGCTTATTGGTTTTTCTGACGCCAGTGAAAAGGCTTATTGTGGTACTGTTTATTTGAAAAGCACTAACGCAACAGGTGAAGTTCACATATCTCTTGTCATGGCTAAAACACGCGTTGCACCAATCAAGAAAGTTGCACCAATCAAGAAAGTTTCCCTACCTCGTCTCGAACTTTGCGGAGCTCTTTTACTTGCGCAGATGATGAGACATCTTCAAGAAATCCTTTCCATTCCATTGTTGAATTTACATGCCTTCACAGACAGCTCAATCGTTCTTTACTGGATCTATGGCACTAGCCAGCGGTTTAAAACTTTTGAAGCTAATCGAATTGCAAAGATACAAGATCTGATACCACCTCAAAGATGGAAACACGTTGATGGTTTACAAAATCCAGCGGACGTCGGATCTCGTGGTATATTAGCAAAGGAAATTAAAGAACACCCCCTGTGGTGGACTGGTCCAGATTGGCTTAAGCAAAATCAGTCGAATTGGCCATCGAAATTTACTGCACCTCCTTCACTGGAAGCTCTCCAATCGCTGGGTGTCACGAAAGACTGCTTACAACTAAAAGAGAAAGAAGAAGTTACTCTGCAAACAACGACAGATACAGCCTCGACGGAGCCTGTGATTGACATTACTCGATATTCCAGTTACATTCAACTCGTGAGAGTTACTGCTTGGGTATTTCGCGTGGTCACCCGTTCAAACCTATTCAGTTCTACACCACTAGCAGTGTCTGAACTATCCAAAGCTAAAACTTGGTTGATTAAACAAGCCCAAGCTCAAATGTTCCCAAACACTGTCAAATTGTTAAAAAAGAAAAACCCATTACCATTGTCGGATCCTTGCAATCATTGAATGCCTTCTTGGATAAAGACGGATTATTAAGAGTTGGTGGTCGTCTTTCGCAGTCAATGAAAGATTACGAATCTCAGCATCCACTGGTCCTTCATGGAAAGCATTATCTGTCAACCTTGATCATACAAAGCGAACATAAACGATTGTGTCATGCTGGTCCAAAGCTTACTTTAGGATCTCTTCAGGATACCTATCACATCATTAGTGCACGTAGAGTCGTTCGTAAGTTGATACGTGAGTGTGTAGTGTGCAAGCGAGCATCTCCAAAGATAACAACTCAACTGATGGGTCAACTTCCGTCAGCACGTGTTTTGCCCACCTTTGCCAATGAGAGAGTCTCAGTAGACTATGCTGGACCGTTTACACTAAAGATAGGATCAGTTCGAAAGCCAACGTATCGTAAAGCCTATGTAGCAGTTTTTGTTTGCCTCGTAACCAAGTCGTGTCACATCGAATTAGTATCAGACCTCTCGGCGGAAGCATTCCTTGCCACACTTCGTCGCTTTGTTTCTCGAAGAGGAAAACCCACGCAGATTTGGAGCGATAACGCGACTTGTTTTCGACGTACGGATAAAGATTTAAGGGAACTTTATCGACTACTTCAAAGACCAGATATCAAAGAATCTGTTATGAACTTTTGTTCGTCCCAAGGCATCCAGTGGAAGTTTAGCCCACCCACCGGTCCTCATCATGGTTCTGTTTGGGAGAACGGGGTAAAGTCTTGTAAACGGCACTTGAAGCGAATAGTTGGGGAAACCAAACTAAACTTCGAAGAAATGACAACCACCCTCTGCCAAATCGAAGCCTGTCTCAACTCTCGTCCACTGATACCTTCGCTTGATACAAATGATGATGATGGAATATCTCCACTTACCCCTGGACATTTTCTAATTGGACGTCCTTTAGAAGCTCTACCTAGCCGCATTTATAAAGAGCCCATTCTTGGTTTAAAAAGATGGAAACTCTGTCAAGCATTGACGCAACATTTCTGGAAACGATGGTCTGCTGAATATCTCAATGGCTTACAACGATTTAACAAGTGGAAAGTTCCAAAACGAAATCTTCAACTAGATGATATTGTCCTCGTTAAAGACAATCGTACACCAACTTGTCAATGGCCTCTTGCTCGAGTCACAAAGATTCATCCTGGTCCAGATAAACTTGTTCGAGTCGTTACTGTACAAACGAAGACTGGCACCTTCATCCGACCGATTGTGAAGTTATGTTTACTTCTACCAGCGAAGGAAGTGCCGAAGAAAGATGATGAAATGAAGTGAAGTAATGAACAATGAACGAACATAAGTTTGAATAGATAAGTTTTAGATATATGTTTATATTATTTCATGACATTCTTGTGTTGATCCAATCAAGGCCGGCGGAATGGACACGCGTTATATGTCTTACATAAAGTTTTTAGCATAATTTAGCAAGCGCATGCGCAGTAAGCATGCTTTAAGAACACATGTTTTGTAGGAAAAGAAAATATAAGTTTTACCTCGGTTACTCGCTGTTTTTCTTGGGTAAAACAAAGGACTGCTAGCTAGGCAGTTAAAAGCAAGTAAACAATCGCATCTAGGGGTCAAAAAAATTTTCCGGACAACCAATATTTTTCGGAACATAACACAAATTTTCGAAAAATCACAAAATTTACTTAATTTTACACAAAATTGACAGAATTTGTCCCATTTTTTTTTATTGCAAACCAAAATTGCCCGACTCTTGATCGAATATTGCCCGACTGCCCAAAAAACTGGGAGGCTACCGCCCCCCTCCCCCCCCCGCCCGGTACGCCTATGGCGAAAGCTAAATGCTTACCATGATCTCTGTCATTATATTTCGTAATTATTGGACCACTCTACATTTCCATTTATACGCTCGAGTATATGCTAAGTTTTTTTAGCCTACTACTACTAAATATGTGTTCTTGTTACAATGACGTTATGTTGTAAAATATAATTACAAAACCAAAAGTTATTCACCATTGTCTTTTACTGTTTTTGAAAGAATAATGAACTTGTTTGAATTTTAAGGTGGCTCCCTAGGGTTTTTTAATTTACTACACTATAGTATTCAGGAGACTCCTGTTTCTTTACTTTACATGATATGAAGACGAAATTTATTGGACACATTGACAATGTTCTCCTGAACATTGCGAATTGCTACTTTTGTGTTAAAAATATGTTCTCATGGCAACAGCATGCTTAGAATAAAGATCAAAAATTGTCTTTTTCAGGTCATTTTAAAAAGTTCCTTCGGTGAAATTTTTTAAAACTTTGCATAAAAGATAATACTTGTATAATGATTTTTTCCCCTCAATTTAAAAAAATTAAATCGATACGTTTCTTAGAAAATTTAAAAAACGCCAAAAATCAATATTAAAAATTTTCCCTTCGATTTAATTTTAAGAAAAAAGGATATTGCACTTGTTGTGCCAATATTAAAAAATGTGCAAAGTTTTAAAAAATTTTACCGAAGGAAAACAGAGAAATTTGGGTTTAATTTTGGCAATTTTTACTAGATTTTTACGCGAACAATTTAATACCCCAACTGACGTGTACATGCATTCTGCATAAAACAACAAGGCATGACTTTTTCGAAATCACAAAATATAAATTATGTTCGATATACTGTTTATAACTGTGTCGGTTAATGGTCAACTAAGCGTGGATTATACATGTAAAAATGGCAAAGATATTTAGGTAATTACTGGTTATGACTTCTTGGTATTAATTTGAAAAATGTTTGTCAAAATTCGTCCCGTGCGAGTACTATCGTCGGATGTTTTCGCAAAATGCCCATTCAAATTTCAGTTTTTATAGCGGTATGTTTGGAGTTTCGGCCCTGCTCATTTCACCCGTAGAGGGCTCATTATTTAAGTCATCTTTATTGTCATAAGTGCTGCTAGATTGTGGAGAAAACACTGCAAATTCTCGAGGAAACTTTATATCCCAATGTTCACGATCGAACCTCGCGTACGGCAGTTCAAAAAACATCCAGAATACCGCTTGAAAAAAAAACAAGTTTACATTATCTTCTTTTGAAACATCACATCCAAGTATCGTTTTGGCTTTTAGAACTCTTTTATGCTTTCAACTAAAGCAAAGTTCGCACTTTTGTTTCAAAAAAGAGTTCCATATAAAACACAACGTTCGTTCGTATTTTGAAATCACACGAGTTTTAGTTTACATATATACGAAGAACGTAACCCCCGGAAATAAAACCCTAGGGAGTCACCTTAAACAAAATGACTGCATGCCCAGCATTCGTTAGTTTCTGAAGGCTGTGGTCCTAGTCCCAGTCCTCTGCTCGACCCTGACGTCCTGGCATAACGTTGACGTCGTACACTCGTACAACTTAAGATTATTTGTTCAAAACGTTACCTACCTCTATAACTCTATAATTAAAAAAATCCAGAAAAATTCCGAACAAATCCGGAAAATCCAACAGATTTTCAAAAATCCAGAAAAAATCCGAGCAAATCCGGAAAATCCGAACAAATCCGGAAAATCCAGCAAATTTTCTCTTCAAAAATCCGCTAAAAAATCCGGGAAAAATCCGCTAAAAAATCCGCGGATTTTTAAAAATCCGAAAATCCCGTACGCTTTTTTCGAGTGAAATGCCCCTCGACTTTAACTACAGTATTCAAATGTGCACCAATTCAGGCACGATATTGCTTAATTGTTACCCCCATTTAACCAAATGCAATATATTCTATCACTGCAACTTAATCTATCAGCAAAAGTATTAAATAGAGGTCTGTAAAATTTGCAGTTTTATTCATGATATACTGTAGCTCTGAGTCACGTGATACATTCGTACAATGGCTCTCGTTTGTTTTGATGGCAATTGTTTCTGTTTGTTTGTTTACAATTGATGTAAATTTTATTTGAGTTGCCTGTTGCCACACCGTGACCAACACGCAAAGTGTCTGATAAATATATTGATCAGCTACAAGCGTGAACACAATGATTCCCAACACCAAATATGCACTGTCAGATTTATAAAATCAAACGCGAGCCTATATATAAATAATAGAAGAACAAATCGTCAAATCTCCTGAAAATGTTTCTTAAACTAAAAGGATCGTAGATAATACTTTGATCTTACCTTAAAAAATGACTTTACAAGAAGATATAATTCTTAAAAATCGCAATATTTGCTAAATACTTGCCAACTTGTATAAAGTTTCGCCCTCGTGCAGTCGTGCTAAATCTTGGCAAGTCCCAAAGAGCAGCCGGTAGTTTCCGTAAAGACCCAGACACAGAATAGGAAGTTATACCAGAAGCGTAACTCGAGCAAATATTTGTCCGCGTTTTTACAAGCGATTCGTCATTAATCACGCCATCCTGGCTAGTACAACCGTCACTTTGTACCTACCAAATCCTGATAAAAACTTCCGGCTGTACTAGCCAGGATGGCGTGGCCTGACGTGAGCGAGTTAAAAATTTTCGTGGACGTCAAACAATAAGGGAAACGACTAGAGTTACGCTTCTGGTATAACTTCCTATTCTGTGACCCAGAGGAGGAGTGAGGACTATACCGGCATGCAACGCGGTCAGGCGCGGTTTTTTACATATTATCAGGGCGCTATAAAACACGCCAAAAACAAATATAAGTGTTTTATAGCGCCCTGATATTATCGATTTCTCGCTCTGCGCCGTCATTGTTCGGTCGGCTTTCGCTGTGTTTACACCTTGAGGCTTCAAAAGATTCAGAAAAGATTTATCGAAAAAAAATTGTAAAATGGTGGATTTTTGCACTATGCATGGAAAGAAAGCTTAGTTTTTGGGTGGACACGAGCTTCTGTGTGTTCACTGTGTGTCAAAACAGCCTTTAATCTTGATTCCGGAAGAATTACCGTGTGATGAACTTGAATGTCGTGAGGACGTGAGGTTCATGTTTATAGTTTTTAATACAGATAGTTCGAAGAATAGTCCTTTGTCCAGCAGTGGTTAACGGGATAAAAATTGATGAAATGTTCGCTGATTGCGGTAGTCCTCCACTGGTACAAATTCACTCTAGTTGTGTTTTTAAGGTGAGATGATTTTTATATAAAAATAGAAATATAAAAATGCTCCTATGTTGTATAAATACAGCAGTATTAAACGTATTTTTATTTTATATCATGTAGTTCTTCGACCCTAATGATCTACGGGAAGGAGGTATAAACAAAGAATATAGCAATGTTATGTTGTGGGAGTTTGACATATCAACATCACCAACATCCCAAGCAATCCCACCATGTGACCCAGATAGTCAAGATGATGAGCTGGATAGTGTACTTCCACCAATAGAATTACATCAGCCAACTGATTGTATAACTGTTTTAATTTACCAATAAACCCTGTTTGCCCTGACAGACATTCATACACACTGAATGATGGAAGCGCCCAGTGGTAGCATTGTTGTAAAGAATGAAATGGAGGAAATTCAACACTATCGCAACACTATATATAAATGTATTGACCACTGTGTGATGCATTGCAAGGATTTATACTGATCAACCAGTTGTCTATGCTCAAATGATCAACCAGTTGTCTATTATTTTACTCTGCCTAATGCCAGATTATTTTACTGTCTAACACTAGACTATTCACTCACCAGGGGGAGAGTGCTGACACTCAATGGGTTAAAAAACATTGAAAGAAAATGTTTAGCAGAAGCTGAAAAATTGTTTATTGGTGTCTGGTGTAATACTGGTATTTCTTTTATTTGTAAGGATAGAGCTGGGGAGCTTCTAATGGTACAGTCTTGGCCCTACCCCAGTTTTTCTGTACTGCATGTGTTTTTGTCACTTCCCTGATTATACCATAAGTATTGTATCCCATGGACACCATCTTATCAGTTCTGCAGTTTTTTTGACAATCTACAGTAAACCTCTGGACACCTAAAAGCACTGGGCTTATATTCTTTCGTAAGCGATTTTTGATGGGCTTACACAAGGGGGGGGGGCTTATACACGTGGGGGGGGCTTATATTCAGAGGTTTATGGTATGTATGGTTTTCATGATTTTCAGTGTATAGTCTTCCCTTGCTCATCACAAATTAATAAAAAGATCACACACTACATAATTGATGTTGATAAAATTTATTTATTTTAAAATCGAAAAAATATTAACATAATATTGCTGTACTTAAAGATAATTAAAATGTTTTTAAAAATAAAATTTTATGCACACAATTTTAAAATATTGCACACATTCATTTCACCAGTACACATGGATGCTATATGATAAAGTATATGAAAGGTGATGCTTTTGCTCTAGCTTAATGATGTATTAAAACAATCTAGAGGTATTACATAATTGGTAAACCTCTTCAATCGTAATGATTTGCATGATTTTCTGCAACAGATATGAATTCAATGAATGCTTTATCTTCCTCAAATGTCCATTATGAAGTTTAACTGGGAATTTCTTTGGAGGAGTCGTTTAATCTTTCTGATAAGAAACTACAAAACAAACAGCAAAAGTGAGAGGGGCAATGTTAGTGCCAGCACAATTAGACAACAACAAAGAAA